ATTAGAATTATGATATCGCGAGGTCGAAATCATTCTCATTTAAATGACCAAGCGCGATTGTCAAAGCCTGAGAATGCATACCGATACCAATAAAAGAGAAAGAGACTGCGTCGCCCAATGCTGGCACGGCTTCGCAAACGTGACAGCTCTATCTGTTGGAGCAGAAAGACTAAGTTGTCATGCGGATCAGTGATTTGAGTTTGTACAGTGTCCCATATCAAGTACGATACTCCAGTTTCACGCCAAGGGTACTACATGGATGGCGGTGTACAAGACGACATTAGCAACCTGACAAGGCTTGCTACATGGCCATACCAAAGAAACTGTAACCTTTGAGTCTATAGCTGAATACGTCATGACGTCGATGATATGTAGAAGCTTTAGCGAGCTAATTGCAAGTGCTCACTACAAGTTTTCACGTCAAGTCTTGCTGTACAATTGTGCAAAATACAACTGTACGAGATCCAAACTGCATATTTGAGAAATTGTGAATATTCACAAGTCCAGAAATACGGTAACGGTACTTATGGAGATGGTAGAGGAGAGGTCCATTGTATATGTGGGATGCAAGCAGCTTATCCGACAGCTTTCATGCGTTATAGTGAATCCTATACATCTTGTATTCATTTGAATACAACTGAGTATACGACACTCGTGAGCAAGCAGCGCAACCGTAAAATGTAATTACTTTTGGAGGCGGAGCGTAAGAAATTAATTTGACTGTGAGATAGCATGATTTTACGCTAAATACATCTGTTTTGGCTTAAACAATAATAATAAAAAATGTTCTGCGTAGCGTGAAAAAATAACCTATAAATTAGGAACAGATTTTAAAACTAATGTTCACCATGCTGACAGCGAACATTTCCGCGAATTTCTCTTTTCATAGTTCCATCACTTCGTTTAAGTACTAACCATGTTGCTTCCTCATAGGTCCGTATTTTGGTAATTCTGACGTTGGCTATATGCCCGAGGGGCAAAAGTGACAATGGTATGATGTATATGCCAATAGTACGAGACATACTTCAGTATACGCCCCATATAATGTAGGCCACACTAAGGTCCTAATTATTCTGCAGTGTTAATACATCACGCAGCGGAGGACGTTCTATGTTCTATTTTACATATTGCAACAAACCGTGCTATATTTACGAGCGTAAGCAATATCAGAGGTCCTCTGTTTGATGGCACATCGAGTCGCTGAAATAGATGCGGCCTCCACAGGCGACAAACTACTAGCGATACTGCCGATATTTTCTTCGAAGTTAACCATCATATTTTCGACCCGACACTTGTGTCTTTGCAGAGCAACATCGGTAACGCCAGTTCCCACAAGTCGAGCGCTCTCAACGCTCCATTTCTCTTCTGTATGAAAAGCATCCTTTGCGCCCATCCTTGCGGTGGAGACCCTTACGACACCCCGCCGCGGAACGACGACGTTCAGCTTGATGATGATAAGACCGATTTCGCTGAACGAGTGAAGTTTGTGTCTATACGCGAGAGCGCCATAGCGACCCTAGCAGTCGCAATTATGGAGGTAGTATATCAAAAGCAGTCCGTACAAAATCTTATTACACACCTGTTCGTGCGGGTCTTGAGCTCTAATCTAAGTAAAATAAGTACTTAAAGTCGTTCTTAGAGCACTTTCCGAAACTTCAAAGAAGAGATTGCCTGCGGGGGTCAGAAAGTGACCCCCGCAGGCAATCTCTTCTTTGAAGTTTCGCAAGCGCTTGGAGGCCAAGCATTTGGGTGAGACCGTGCCCTTGGAGACTGTAAGCGCCGGCAAAGTGCCGAAGGGAATCATACTCAATTCGCGCTAGGTAAAGATGATACATTGCTCCACTTATTTCAAAAGCTTTATAAACTGGGGTTAGTCTCGAGCGTCGTTTAATGTTTGACCGTACCAAGTATAAAGTACAACGTAGATGGCGAAGTGGACACTCACCAACTCCAGATCCTGCTGTTAAGAGCCCTGCTCCTCTCCATAAGCCGGCTGCTTTAGCTACCGACCATTTTAAACGTTGGAATATGGTCACCTCCTCTCACCAATTGAAACAGCGTTCCGCTGGGCTACCATGTCTCTTCGTTGAGGTCTTACTCCTATTAGCACTCTAAATAAGGGTATCCCTTTTACTTCACCATATGCTAATTACAGCCCTGGTGAATACATCAGCCTTTTAAGCATCCAAAGAAAGTAAGTCACTTCTGAAGCATTGAGCTGAACCTGCGGATGACGACCCTCCCGCGGCTGGCTTTCGTGATATCTCTCGATTATGGCGGCTCATCACTCTCTTTGAAGGTCGTGGCGTGCGGAAGAAACTGACTTGAGTTATCTTATGGATGCGTAGTTTGAACTGAACAATTGTACCGATTGGCAGGAGGCTTCGCAATTGACAGAAAATCTTATCGTTGGCCTGAAGTAGAAGATAGCTCAGGTACAGCCTAAATTGAAACCTTTTAGTCTGATTAGGAGCAGTTTGCCTCCAAAAGGCCTATTTGAGCGGGGTCATGGTTTGGTTATACATGCCGCTTTGGACATAGATTACGTCGTATAATATTCAGGGTACTAGAAGTATAGCGCGTATCCATTAATATCTACGACCATAAATGGTATACCTTAGCGAGGTCTCAACACATTTTTGAGACAACAGGCTTTGCATGTATACTCAGGCTAGCACCGTTGATAAAGCCCAATCACTTTCAGCAAACTCTGCTGGTGTCCGTCTGCTTCTGGCATTTGCAAGTTGTC